AAATTGACGCCTACATGTAGCATGTCCCATATAGCCCAAAAGGGAGAGAAACGCTTCTAACTATCTAAATATTGGGTTTTTGTGCCCCCCCTCACCCCCACCCCACATGATCTCGTTTCTCATGCAAAATCAGCAGTCACCACGCCCCTATTCATGAAGCCAGACTCAGAAAATTCAAAACAAATCAATCTGATTTCGATTGCATAGTTATCAAAGCAGAATATTCAAACATTTTTGAGGTAGGCCTAATGGTAGATTAAGGGAACTCGAAACCGTCAATGTGTATAAAATGTAGTTCCAGGGTAGAAAGTCTTCTTGATTTAAAACAAAATGTCTTAACCCAACACCAGGGCAGATTAAAAGGGGCGGGGTGGGGTGGGGTGACTGGGCTGCAGGTAAGGGCGCCAATATTAGTTATATTAAAGGGTGCCATGGTGGCTCAGTGCGTTGGACGTTGACTCGCTAACCCGGAGGTCGCGGATTTGATCCCTGCGTTGGTCGAGAAAGTTCATCGGGGTTTTCCGGCGTGGTCCCCCCTTGTCAGTTGTGTAGGACAACGTATAGACATGCGGATGGACATGGCAACGAACAACGTATAGTCGTTCGAATGGGACAGAAAAAACAAGGTCCTGTGTACACATTGGGGTGAACGTAAAAGAACTCATGAATTTCCTCCCTCAACACACTGCATGGCATATGCCCGTCTTCATCAGTCCAGTAGGAACAGAACAGTAGGACGTTAAACCCCATTTCATTTCATTCATAACAAGTTCATCGGTACCGCTGCAATATACGTACACATTCTCGGAGGTCGGGGCATACACCAGAATAAATAATTGCTGTCTTTACGGTATAAGAAATAAATATGTAAAGTTCCAAGATAATACATTCAAAATGTATTTTTCGAAAATCTAACCAGTCCCACCCACCCCCTCTATATAAAGCTTATAATAATGTAATATGAATAATACATTGTTAAACCGCATCAAGATTCAAAATTATAGCACATAAATAAATCAAATGTTTATTAGCTATGTGAAATCGTAAAATGAGCAATGGTGTCGAGTGCTGTCGGAAGAGTAAGCATGTAATACCCATTGACGACATATTCCAATAGATAGATAGGACTGATGTTAAATTTGTGCCCTCAAACGTTCTGTATCCTTCCATTTCATTGGTAAATATTTCTCCCGCATAACATTTTTATACGCCCACATTTTCATGTGGACGTATATTGTCGTCGCCCCTGCCCGTCCGGACGTCCGTATGTCTGGACGTCCAGGCGTCCGTCCGTCCGTCCACAACTGTTTGTGGACTCTCTACAGGTCACAATTCTTATCCGATTTTGAGGAAACTTGAAATATAGGTTTATCCCCAAAAGATCTCAGCTGCTTTCGAAATTGGCATGTATCGGATCGAAACTTCATGAATTATGGCCCCTGTTTGTACGAAAAATCACGTTTTTAGCTTGTGGGCCCTATAGAGGTCATAATTTTTATCAGATTTTGTTGAAACTTGAAATGTAAGTTTATAACTGAGAGACAAAATGGCCGCCCTTCGTTCTCAAATAGCGTAAAAATATGGTATATCAAGGTTGTGGACCCTATAGAGGACACAATATTTATTTGATTTTGTTGAAACTTGAAATGTAAGTTTATAACACAAAGATCTCGGTTCCTTTCGATATTTGCGCATATCTAATTGTAATTTCCTGAATTATGGCCCTTGATTGTAGGACAAATCACTTTCTTTTTAGCTTGTTCTCTATCCATCTCTCGAAAATGTGGGCGTATCATGCCTGGCAGCCGCTGGTAATGATTTAAAATAAGTGAGTAAGTGTGGCTGGGTGATGCCAATAGTTAATCTGTCTCACTTTCATCATCACTACAAGAATTGTTTGATTCGTCATCGGAGTTGTTGCTTTGTTGGTCACTATCTTCATCTATGCAAATACTCTCAACTATTGACCAGTTATGATTTGGAACCGAAATTTGCTTCCATTACAACCGTGCTAAGTTGGATTAGGTCTAATCAAATAAAAGACTACTAAGAGTATGGTGAACCAATAGTGAAATGTACAAAGCATTTCCTACTGACATCAATTAAAACAAAAATATGACTAAGTCGAAAGTCGACAAGACGGTACACAAGCCAAAATACAAGTCGAAAATAAGAAAATAGGAAAAAACGAGGGGCGCTATTATCGCAGTGTATTATTTCTTAATTTCCTATTTTCGAGTCCATTTTGGCTTGTATAGCGTGCTGTCGCCTCACATTTTGTCGTAGAAATTATGAATGGTAGTTATAGGCTTCCATAGATTATACCATTGTTGTTTTATCTGGCTGTTTGGATGTTTATATTGTAGTTCTTGGTATCTATGTGCTTTTAAGAGGTTCATATGAATCCATTAGGAAAGGTTACAAAAGGACTCTCCACAATAGAGACCTGAAAATAAAAAATATGGTTTATATTTATAAATAGGGGGGTTGGATGGCCGAATGGTTAGCACGTGCGTGCTGTATCATAAAGCCTGTCATTGCGTCAACTGGCGAGGTTTCGAATCCCCGGTTGTACGTGAAAAGGAGTAGGGTCGCCTGTCCAAGCTCGTGGGTTTTCTCCGGGTCCTCCGGTTTCCTCCCACTGCTAAAGACCCCTACGCGCAAGCGAATTATTGAAATAAAATTAAAAACCATATGTTAGTCCCGAAATGACCTAGTTTGTGTTGAGTGGACGTTAAACCCCATTTCTCTCTCTCTCTCTCTCTCTCTCATATTTATAAATAAACAAGCCGTTATAATCTCCACCATACTCTACTGTCTAAAACTCATTGTGCTATTGCTTTTCATATTTTTCGACATTTTGGTCCTTAAGTTGGCCATTTTGAAATCTCCGATTAAAAATGTTTTCTGACGTCCACCATGTCCCAATTGTTCATATATAGTTTCATTAAAAATGACAAGCAGGGGCGCACAGACATATTTTCCAAGAGGGGTGAGCCATCAAAATATCGACCCACTCAGCATTAGAAAATCATTTATTACCTCCAGTTAGGTAGAAAAGTAGTTAGTAAGTATAGAATTATATAACTTACAAATGATTCAGTTTAATATTGATTTGTGGGCCTCACTTCGGTTTGATTGTAAGAGATTTCGGCCCATTTTCCCGAGAAAAAAAAAACGGTGCACTCGGCAAAAATATCGACCCATTTGCCTATCCGGGCTAAGCTCAGGTGAATGTGCCGCACCAACGACAAGGGGAAACCACGCCGGAAAATCCCGATTTTATAAATGTTTATCCAAACGGTCATCATATTAACCCAAATAAAGAATTCAACGGGTACACGAATCCATTTTATTGAGGATTACAGTGTTAACCCCTCTTCATAGCCAATTCACTATGAAGTCCCCTTTACTATTTGCTTCATTTTGTATTTCAATTTTACGAACTTGTCTGTTATTAACCCTTTTTTACATTAATCAACAGACCGGTAACACGTTGTACTTACCTGGGTTTACACATGTATCATCAATACAGTACTTATCATCATATATTTTGTTTTCACAGTCTGAAAATACAACCAACTTACAGACTAGAAGATTGACAACTTAACTAGATTTCAATATATTCAACAAATTCACATATTTATGACTGACTTATTTACCTATATAACCATCAAAGCACTGAATAGATTATACGATAGATTTTTAAATTTTTAAAGAAAACTACAAGAAAGTTATGTGAATAATAAATAACTGGTTATAAATATAAATGAAATGCCATGGGATTTAACGTCCTACTGTTCTGCTCCGACTAGGCTAATGAAGACGAGCATACGCCATACGATGTGCTATGCGGGAAATTTTGCCCGGACACCAGAGAGCGGCACTACGGCCTACTATTATTTCCAACTGTCAAGGGATCTTTTACGTGCACGCCAATGGGTACACGGGACCTCGGTTTTTCGCACCATCCGAACGACGAGACAGCTGTCATTGTCAGTCCCTCCGTCCTGCATCACTGACAAGGGGAACCACGCCGGAAAATCTGGATGAACATTCTCGGCCAATACAGGGATCGAACACCCGACCTCGTAGAAATGGTTCCACTACTGATGTCTTACGTCTTACTCCAGCCACAGTAGTGGACCGTCCTAAGGCCTTCCTTTGCGCAAGTTTTGTAGTCATTTGACTACAAAAAGTTACTGGCCTATAACTCCTTTAATTTCCAATTACACTGACCCCAAACTGTACTGTACATAGCTTAATACAATTCTCATTGAAATAAAGGTGAAACCTTACCGCATAATAATTATAACCCAATGATTTAACCCAACTGCTAAGCGAAATTTTTGTTCAGTGAAAATGGCCGCCGTACCAGAATCTGTGATATTATATCACTCGAAAATACAGAAAAACTGATCGGTATGATAAAATTAAGATTTCTGTGTTCCACTCTTCACTTATTGTAACATAATCACTTAATTTCATACAAACTATGATGATATATGTTGAAAAATTTGCAACTGAACCTCATTTTACTTGCGTAAAGAGTCGAATAGTGTATCAATTGCAGCTGTAGATAAGAATTATCTCGGATGAAAATTGCAGCTATACCGACCTCGAGGCTGGCGAGCCAGCGACTTACCTACTTAGCCACCGCGACCCCCCGGTTATAAATATAGCTGATAGGTATCTTACCACGAGTAGTGCATTTTATTAGGTCTCAAAATACCGACTACGAATTAAATTTTTTTCAAAATTCAATCAAATATTTCTGGACGAGAGAATGATTGTAAACACGTAACTCCGATTAAAAATACAATGATTTTCCATAGAATTTTGATATGTTCAATTACTAAGTCCTGTTTAAGCAGTATTGTGAATGGTATCTCTGGGGTTTTCTTTTGACATTTCTCTACTTTCGATTTACCACGTGGCGATGTTTACATACTTTCGCAGACTAAAATCACGTGATATTTATCTTCCGGGTCAAGGTCGTGATGCATTGATTTGTGAACCGATTTCACCATTTTGCAGGAGAAGGTCTTTTTCATATATTACATAAAATTATCTGCAAGGACATTTAGGACACTCTCACGTCAACACTGCGAAGAAATCGTTCTAAATTAATGGTTTAATTGAATGCACGAGAGGTCATAGGTCAAATCGCGCATCAGCCGATGTGACACGCATAAAAAGGTGTGTGGCACGGTTGTGGCGTGAGTTATTTGGGTAACCATTCATTGAAATAGACTGAGAGCAATCCTGTCGTCACGTCAAGCGGCATTCATTTCAACATCCGTATTCGTAAGTATAACACATTATTTCTAATCCAAATTTCATCAGTCTAAAATTGTCTGCTGTTGTCATGATATAATTTAGATGAAAGCGATGCTAATTAAATTAATATAGGCCTACGCCAAAATTGTTGCCTTGATTATTATGCTGATAAATGTCATGAATTTTGAATAACTAATTTTTTGATCGGCCTTTTCATTCTAATTTGTAGGGGGCAGCCTACTGCCTCCAGAATCCTAGTAACTATATATATACGTAGTCAATAACAATTTTATTGACTGAGTATTTAAATATCAATGATTTTAGCACCAATGATGTTTGATTATTTATTTTATGACCAAATGATATTATTAACGGTTTTTCAAGTTCAATAAACATAGTCGACTTGAAACTACACAAAGCCATGTGGTAATCAGGGTGTATGCTGTCTCATTCATGTAGGTGCTGGGTTTGATCAATGCCTTATTGAAGAAAATGTTATTTAACTTTTTATTAAGGGGTTGTAGTTGACAATTTGCACCCCGACAACAAAACAAGATGACAAAGAAAATGACAATAAATAATAGGTCCGAAAACAACTTGAACCGCATGCATCATTTAATACTCTGGATGTTTGTTGGGATGAATTTACAATTTCATATACGGATCCAATGTCTAGTGATGTTCTACAGGATTATTTGTGTGTTTAGACTTGAATAAGAATAGACGTAAATAGCTAGTTGCCCAGTGATAATTCAGTCTGTCGGAACTGTCCATCGAATCCCTTATCAAAACAAACTGTGACATGTTAGTTAATATTGATTTTTCAAGCTCGTGGTTTCCTTTAGGGACTGACAAGGGAAGTTTTATTCCTGGGCGAAAAATTCGATGCTGTATAAAAAAGGGTCTATATACACGATCAGAGAAAAAAAATGACATGTTAGTCCCAGATTGACCAATTATCTTGGCAATGTATGCAGAATTAATGAGACAATAAAATGACATAACCTTTTTGATTTGGATCAAGGAAATAAAATGATTTTTTGTTTATGTTATCAACATTTTAAACAAAAATAAAGAAACTAAACATACTATTAGTAACCAAACTGACTTACTGCATGATAATGTCGTGATGAAAATTTACCCAAATGCAGATTACAGTGTCTATAATCAAAATAAACCTATGATATCAACAAAATTAAAGACTTAACTACAAATCAAAGAAGTTACTGCCCTTTTAAAGTCACCAATTCCTTGAAATTTCTTTCATAAATATATAAATTATTGTGAATATGCAATAGTAGTAGGCTTATCATTAAAATTAGTGTAAAGCACCTGTTGACACTAATAAACCTACAGCACACTCTGCCTGTGACTTACTTTTTGATGACCCTACATTTATGAATGGGAGATAGTATGGGTCCTTGGCCTTGCTATCAATCAGTTATGTACATGTATTGAGTTCTTGATTTAATTTGATATTAAAAGGACATTAGGTTGTGATGAAAATATAATGAAAAAATTTGAGTTCAGTTTTCACAGAGTAATCAAGTTGACTGAAGGAAATTTAATCTTATTTGAAATAACACACAAAATCATCGCAGTTCAGCACTTTAAATCAAAGAGCTTTAGCTTGAAAAGTCATTTGGATGCCTTAAAGGAGCTAACATTTGGGACATAGAAATTGACAAAAGTGGGTTGCAACGCATATAATACTGTAATATGAATGTATATAAACTGATTTACATTCAATGATTTCTGTTTTTACTCCAATTTCAAATCAGTTATGTTCGGCGAAATAAGCCAGCAGTCTCTAGCTAGTGCAAATTTCTAGCGTCTGGTTATTCCAGTCTACATACTCCGTTTGATTTGGTGCAATGTGTCTAGCCTCGTCCCTCGAGTCTCTTGATACAACTGGGGCTGAAGCGCATTATGGTACACGATTCGTGTACCAATGGTAAAATGTTTATTTTGTCTTAAATATTGGATATCAAAAGCTCATCTTTTTCTGGTAAGATCACAACATGAATGTTGATTTAATTTGACAAATAAATCGTGTTTTCAATGTTGAAGATTTTGGATGATATTGAGTTAGAGACATAGCTACTTTAATCATTTGGCTTCGGGTTGTGCCAGGATATAGTAGTACATGTATGAAATACATGGAGAAACCACGGTAGTCAATATTCACATTTACCTAGTGCTAAATGATTAAAACCTTCTAAAATGAGAGAGAAATGGGGTTTAATGTCCACTTGACACAGACTAGGTCATTTTGGGACCAACATACGGTTTAATTTTATTTCAATAATTCGCTTGTGCGTAGGGGTCTTTAGCAGTGGGAGGAAACCGTGCTAACCATTTGGCCATCTACCCCCCCCCCCCCCGCCTTCTAAAATGAGCCCATTCTTTATTCACTGGTGCCAATAAAGTAGTAAGCTTTATAGGTAAGTGTAGGAGAACTGAACAGTGAACACCACACGAACTAATAAAAAAAATTGATGGACGAGACAACATGCACACAGACAGTGCAAGCAGTAAACAACAACAATATCCAATCAAGTGTGTTTTACACAATATTTCATGTTTATATATTAAAGAAAATGGTTAGAAACTATTCAGTTTATAGTAATCGTGCAAAATACCATTTCCCAAAAACAATCTATAGTAATCTACAGGTTCAAACTTCAAACAAAATATTATTAGTGTTAAATTATTGGGTGTATTAAATTAAAGAAATTTGTTTTACTCTTGAGATACAGGTATGTTAACTGCTTGATATATTGTCCCTTTAGTCTATGTAAAGATATTGATATATATATATAATGGTAGATTATAGTTATTACATATTACTACTCTCATTCAAAACATACTGTATATTCTTTAATGACTGGTTGATCTAGACATAAATGTAAGCTTACGTTTTGTAATTGATATTTTAAAAAAAAAATAGGGCCCAGGCATTATTATGAAAGGATGTTAACTTAAAAACAAAAAGTATTGGATTTCAATGTGTCCAAATCTTTATAAAAAAATGAAAAGCCTTAGAATATTCTGTGAATTGCACTGTCAAGATATTATGACAAATGTCTGATACTATGACCACTTTAAGCACATACATTACACCAATAGTAAATCTTGTTATAAATTATTAGAATAAGATTAGTAATGGTTATATTAAGCTTTAAGATGATTGTTCCTCCCTGTGTAGAAAAACAATATCAGCCAACATAGTCAAGGTACATATATCAGACTCTGATCTGAAACATGACATGATGCATGTAGAAGAAAGTATAATTTAAGGTTAAGTAGAGGATGATAAATACTTGCCTAATGACCTTGCAACCCTTGTATAATAAATAGGATGTTATTAATGTTATCTTGCCTTGGCCATGTTCATAAGATAATGGTGCTTTTATTTAAATACTGTGTATATAAAAATGAGTGCAGTCTCAACTGAATGAGTTTGTTGTCTGTGTTAAACTCTGAGCTCCATCTGTGTACCTGTAGATACTGGCCACCCTGTTAATGCTGCTGATTTGACATTTGAAGGATTTTGAAATGAAAATGGGGTTTAATGTCATACTGTTCTGCTCCGACTGGGTTAATGAAGACCGGTATACCCCATACAGTGTGCTATGAGGGAAATTTTATCCTACAGCCAACTCTTATATATTGAATTCCAGCGGCCAAGGGATCTTTTATGTGCACGGCAATGTTTACACAGAACCTTGGTTATTCATCCCATCCAAACGACTAAACAGCTTTCATTGTCAGGGGAGACCACGCCAGAAAATCCTTATGAACTGTCTCAAACCTACGACCTCAAGGCTAGCGAGCTGGCGTCTTACTCACTTAGCCACCATGCCCCCCCCCCCTCCAGTATTATGAAAGTTGAATCTCTAAAAGTTATATATCAGTCCAAAAACAGTTCAGTTGCCTTCAGTATTTAAAAAGAAATTATGAATAGAAAATTTTGTAACATTCACAGTGTTGGGTAAATTTTTTTAATGAGCCTCTGTTTAATCTGATCGAATCTAAAGCGAAAGACTGTCGAACTACTTTTGGAATGCAAAGTGTAGAAACATGTAGAAACCCTCTGTCTGACGACAATCTGATGAATATATATACAAATTTTGTTTAGTTTCTGTTCATTTTCTGTGGCTTACATTCCATCAAGATGTGACCAGTTTTTATGTGTGGATGGCTTAAGGGGGTCATGAACTAATTCATGTGCTGGGGCACCTATAATTAGACTCACGTTTATTTGCTTGATGGTGCTGATGCAGTATTTTGATTTGATTAAAAACACTATTTCCAGTATAAATAGATTTGAAATAGAAAGGAAGAATGTTTAAAAGAAGAATGTAAATTTCATTAAAAGGTTAAAAATCAAATATACCTGTTTTAAATTGAATAATAAGATTAAGTTTGATTTAAGGGAAATTTGATTGAAGGATGTGGACTATTAATATATAACTTTTTATTCTAGACCGTTCAGTAGATAATTCAGCTTGTCTATATGGTAAATTACATTGTTAATCACATTGTTAACATAACCACATTAAGCTCAAATTACCATGACCCCATGGCTAGTAGAGTCTTTGAAGTTAATAGCTGGGCTGGTTTCAAATAGTTGCGATTCCCTGGTTGTACTGACAAGGAGTAGGGTCGCCTGTTCAACCTCGTGGGTTTTCTCCGGGTCCTCCGGTTTCCTCCCACTGCTAAAGACCCCTACATGCAAGTAAATTATTGAAATAGAGTTGAACCATATGTTAGTCCTGAAATGACCTAGTTTGTGTGGAGTGGACTTAATTTCTCTCTCTCTCTCTCCATCCCTCTCTCTCTATCTGAAATAGTTGCTTTTTTTTGAGATTTGCAAGTCGAAAAAGCAATAGCCATCTTAATGCATTTATGATAGGCTATGATTAAACAACTAGGGTTTAGGATATTATTTTTCCGGTTCAATAGAAGATAGAATTAAGTTATGGGTGTGGAATGGATGACCTAATTATCTTTAAAGAAACTTG